CATAGCTCTTTATATATATATATATATATATATATATATATATATATCAACTTAATTATAAAATTTAATTAATCACGTTTTAATTTTTTTAAATATATAAATAAATTTTTTAATTATACTGATAAGTTCCCAATTATTTCTCAATATTTAACATTAATACTGAATCAATTATGCCATAATTTGATTTGTTCTCTGATTCTTGGCCTACATCACAATAAGAATCAATCACTATCACTCGATTTGACTATCGAGCAAGACATCGATTCACATAATTAAAACACTTGCGCAACGACGAACAAAAAATCTTCGAAAAAGAATTAGTTATTGAGTAAGTCTTATTAAAGTGACTTTAAAAGTTTTTAAGAAATTGGATCAGAAATTTCACAATATTATTTCAATTTTTAGATTCCATCTTATACGATAGTTTGTTCATCATGTTATATAAGGAGAATATGTATAGTCTTAATCAGAAACAAATAATAAACCTATTCATTTTAAAAAATTTTTAAATTTTTAATTTTAAAATTATTTAAGTAATATATAATTTGAGGTAACAATAACAATTTTTAATTGCTTAAAAGATTTAAATAATAAATTTAATAATAAAATAAGATTCAATTATACAATTGAATATTGTTGAAAGTATCAAGTATTTATATAACTATTTATAAAAATTTATGTTATGAATGGAAAGGTTAAAAATCAAATTTATTATATATTATAATAATTTATTATAACTATTAGGTTAGTAATATTTCTCATATTTCAGTAATATACCTCATATTTTGGATTTTTCGGTTAACTATGATATATTATAATAATTATTGATTGATTAATTAAATCCACTATATTCAGAATAAATTGTTTAATATATTGACATTTGAATAATGATTCAAGTAAAATATAAATAAGAAGTAAAATATATAATAGTTATATTTAAAAAAAAAAAACTGTTTGCAATAGTCTATTATTGATTTTTAAAAAGTAAAATTTTACAATAATTTATTAAATTTATTAATAATATCTATCAATAAATTGACAAATTATAAATTGTAAAATACAAATCTTACATTTATAATTTCATAATTTTATATAATTTTATATAATTTTATATTATATAATATATCAAGGATAATATAACCTAATGAACTATAATTTATACTTACTTGTAAAATTCCATTTATTTTATTATTGGATTGATTAGTCGATTTTAATATATTATATTCAAAAAATATTATTATTAAAAAATTATTATTATTAATTATTTAACTTTCTGATTTATAAAAATAATAATAATAATCTTATAAAATATTAGACAGCGTTAACGCAAAACGCCCTCTTGCGTATTCCTCATCATTTCACTACTTGTATTGAAACTTGCGATTTGAAATTCTAAATAATAATAGTCGAATATTATCGATGAAAAACTTAGTTTAAATTCTTTGAATCCTAGTAAAAATATTTCAATATTATACCCAGTAAATTATCTGATTTATTAAATCAGATAAAAATAAAATTACTTTAAAATGCAAGTATTGTTTATTATTTAATGAAATAACAACTGAAGCAACACGATTACCAACTGAAAATATTATTAAATGTATTAATAAAATTGTTTATGGAAAAAGAAAATGATGAAATGAAAAGTAGCAAGTGTAGAAAAAGATTTCAGCTTTCTCAATTCGGCCGAACTGTACAATTCAATTACAGTCTGGTCATCAGTCCTCGAGTGTCAGTCTACGTGATTAAGTAATCTCGAACGGTTCTGTGCATCGTTTATTCTTCTGAATCTTCAATAATAATTTAGAAAAAGAATTCTATAAGAAAAAAATTACAAGTTAATGAATATTTTTTAATATAAAGTTATTAGAGAACTTATATAAAAATAGAGAAACGAAAAAAAATTTTTTTAAACATTTTTCTATGAAATTATTTTTGTATTCAGTGATGCAAATTTTGTGTTGAATCAATTCGAAAAATTAATTAATTACCGAAAAGGAAAAAACTTTTAGAAAAAATACGAAATAAATATAAATTTTTTATTTCATATTTGTGCAAGAATAAAAATAAGACCCAAAATATTAGGTAAGTCGATGAATTAGGTTATAAACATCGATTATATTTATCCTAATCGATTTTTTAAATAATTAATTTGACTTTCTATTATTAAGTTCGATTTTGTTTCTTAAATAATGAAAAATTCTATTTACTTTTGTTTTTTGTTATTTTTATTCTATTTTATTATTATATTACTATTGTATCTTTTTAAATACGAATAATGAATAATTTATATTTAATTATTATAATTATCTTTTTAAATATTTTAAATAATTCATATTTATTTATTTCCTTCTTCTTGTTATATATAGATTATATATTATTATATTATATATATTATTATATATAGATAATGAAAATTTATTAGTATTTTTGATTATTCGATATATTTAGATTTAATAAGGAAGTAAAGTTCTGAAATTGAAAGTTCGTATTAAATTCAAATGGTCTCGCGTCATTTGTTGAACGAGTCACTGGAACAGAATAGATTGATGTTTTTAAACAATATGGATCATTTGTTTCTCTGAATTTTTCAGTTCAACTGTTAGTTCGATAACCATGAGCTTGACTTTAAAACAATCGAAATGAATTGTTAAATATCACCTTGCTTTGATATTCGAATTTTCTCTTTTTTAACGATTCGTTCGAAAATTATATTTAAATACGTAGTGAAATTTCCAATAAAGTAAAAAAAAGATATATATGAAAAAAAGGGAAAGCGTATCGAGTTAATTGCATATGATTTATATGCATGAACGTAAATCTTTCTCACTCGATGTATTTGATAGCTTGTCTTTCAATTTCATTGAAACATTTTAACTTATGAAAGATCAGCTCATTAATGAAATAATGAGTGCAATTTTTGAAATGCAATAAATATAATTTATCATTCATCATAATATATAAAAATAAATGTAATAAAAATAATATATAAAAATTAATCATAAATAAATTGGATCTTAATGGATTAAGAAAATAATTTATGCAAATATTAATATGATATTGATTATCTTCATATCATCATTGATTATCTTTTTAATATCATCAAAAAAATAAATATAATGAATATTTTATGATACAATTTTATAATACTATTAATTTATAATTTTGATGTTCTAAATTATGTATTATGTTATTTTGCAAAATAATATTGATATTAATATGTTATTAATAATTTTTTATTTATATTCTTTTTTCGATCAAATAGATTCTTGTAATAATATATTTAAAATGTTTTTCAAAATAGAAAATAAAGAATTCTGTACTTTTATTTTTGTCTTAAATAATTTACTTTTTTTGGTTTATATTGAGAAAATATTAAATATTCTTTTATTGCGGAGTGAAGATTTCTCAAGAACGAATTTCAGAATAATATATTCTTACGAATAGAATATTCTAAAATTTTTGAATTATGCATAAATTAAATAAAATAATGTTATTAATTATTATTAAAATAATATATATATATATAAGTTAAAAAAATTTCTTTAACTATTTTATTTTTCTCACAAAGTTAAAACTTAAATATTATTCATTATTAAATTTACAAAGATATATAAATTGAACTTTTGTTAAATCTAAATAGCATATTTCCATTACAAATAAAAGAAAAAATATTGATAAACAACTTTAATTATTACGAAATATGGCAATGTCACGTTATTAAATTCTTGTTTACGTTTTTCTACATCCAATTTCACGAGTTAATTGAAATTTAAGAAGTAATCTCTTGTTTCATTTCTACAGACATGTCATGGCGAGAAAAAGGAAAAGCATCGAATCCAGTAAATGGTCCAAAAATTCATGGATATCTACAAGCCTTGCCAAACAATCGAATAGTTATTCATTCATATCTCCTACTCATTCTTTCACTTATAATTTGGAGAATTCTAATCCAAAGTATAACCATGAACATTCTATAGTTCAAAAAATATGTAAAGACGGTGGTTCGTCCAGTACAAGTAAGTATAAATGCTATTTTATCAAATATCAATAAAATTATAATTTCTATATTTTATATCTAGAATAAATATATAAAGCAGGTAAAATATTTTACAGTATATCTAATAGTATGTAATATGTAATATTTAAAAATATAATATTTTTTAATTGATTAAAATTATTATTTATTTTTAACTGATATAAAATATTATTTAAAAAAATTTAAAGAAAAAAAAATGAATTTTTATATTAAAAAAATATTTAGATTATTTATAAATTATCAAAATAAGAAATTATTAACAATTTTGAATTTAATTCAATACTTGATACTTTTTTGAAGAATAATATATTTTAAGTTAAGCTCATAAATTAATAATATTGATAAATCAAAAAAAAAAAATTTATAAGAATTTGTTACAAATTTATATCAAATTAAAATGATAAATATTTTACAAAAATTATATTATAAAAATTAAAATAATTGTAAAATTGAAAAAAAATAGAATAAGATAATAAATAGAATGGAGATATTTTATGAATTTTTGAATTTTTTATTATGATATCTGAAATGAAAAATTTTAAATCTTTAGAATCTTTTTGTTAACAAAAAATTGAATTTGCAGTCTAATAATAAATATTAAAGAAAAAATAATAAAATTATGTAATAGAAGTATACAAAAATTTTATTAATTAATAATATTTAAAGTTGCGCAAAATTAATAATATTATCAATATTATTCATTATATATCATCTGGAAAAAAATTGAAACGAATTAACTAACTTAAAAATTTCTGAATATCAGTTTTTAAATATTGTCGAAAATAATTGCACTAATAGTTCGAATTCCTTTGAAGAAAAAACAAAAATATAAAGTGAAGTTAACAAGAAAAATATGTGTCATTACGTAAAATTAGTTTTAAATTTCGTCGCGCAAAAAACAATAGTAGCAACCAACCAGTGTGTCCTCGTAAAAATAGAATTATGACGTGAAACAAATTGCTTCCCGGGAAAATATACTTACACGCGCGATTGTTCTAAACATTTTTTACCATTTCGACGTGGCAACAACTATCGCTATTCATAATTGCATAACGCACTCCTCGCTTTCATGAATCGAACGATATGTGCTACAATGTCAAATTTACTCGAATTATCAGTTAAATAAAATCGAGTATGTAATTAAAACTTTTAGCTTAGGTTAGATTAGATTAGAATTTTTTTTTATATTTCTTTTTCATTATCTTGTTATAATTTTTCTTTCAAAGGAATCGTTAGATATAATTTTGAATTTTGGATATTATTTTTCAACTTGTTTTCAATTCTATGTTAATATTTAGATATCTAGATATCTAGGTATTTATTATATTTTTTTATTTAAATTTTTATATAAATTTATATATAAATTTTGATATAGATTTTTATAAATACAATTATAGAAATGGAATATATACTTTATTTTTTAAATATCATAATGTAATTTATTTTGAATATTTCATATATTTTAACATACAATATACATTTAAATTTTCCATAAATACATAAATATTCGCAGTCTAACCACATTTTTTCCTTAAAAAAATTCCCGTACTATTTAGATAAAACAGATACTCTATATATATATTATCACAAAATTATAAAATGAAAAGTTATATTTGCATAATTTATAGTTTTAATGTAAGAATTAAAATTTAAAATATTTGTTATTTCTCTTATTACTCAGAACTGGTTCCAAGCGTTCATTAAGCAAGTGTGAAATGCTGTTACCTTGAATGGATGTCAATCTATAGGGAATTTCAATCTTCCTCGTATTTAATCCATCTCT